ACATTTTTTGGGCTGGTGTTACGATCCAGGATATTGTCAGTCTTGGCGAACATTCCACATACATTTGAAATGATATGCTATTGTTGGGTGGAGTAATCTGTAAATATCTGTTGAATCTAGTTGGGTTGGTGGTGTTGTTCGGTTCTTCTGTATCCTTGCCAACTTTGTTTACTAGTTCTGTCCATTGCTGAGAGAGGAGCGTTGAAATCTCCAAATGTAATTGTAGTTGTGTCTGTTTCTCCTTTCGGTTCTTTTAGTTTTTGATTCATGCATTTGGTAATGCTCCAACTTTTGATAATTATTTATTTTTGCTCTTTAGTCTACTTTGATGTTAATATAGCTGCTCCACTTTGTTTTCATTCGTGCTCATATAGCATATATTCTTCCATCCTTTTATTTTTAACCTTTTATTTTATTTGAATTCAGATGTTCTTTGTATCCATTCTGCCACTTTGTGTGTTTTAATTGTCATATTTAAGACCATTTCCAGTTAATGTAATTCTTGATATATTTGGCTCTTTGATATATTTGTTTTTTGTTGGTTTCCTTTTTTGAATTTCCCCCCTCATTTCTCTGTTTTCTCTTTCCTGCCTTATTTTGGGACATAGAATTTTTGTTAGTATTCTGTTTTATCTATTGTGTTTTTCACTATATATCTTTGTAAAAAAAAAAAAAAAAAGCCCTAATGGTTGCTCTTGGGATTAAAATATAAATGTTTGATTTTCCACAATCTATGTGGAATCAATATATGTTACCATTCATTTCAAGTGGAATGTGGAAGTCTTATCATTATTTCACTTAGATCTCTTTACGCTCTATTTTACAATTGTCTTATGTATTGCATTTACATAGGTTGAAAGTTCAATAAGACACTTTTGCTTTCAAACATGAACTGTATTTTAAGGAACTCAAGAGAAGAATAGCCTATTATATTTACCTAGATATTTACGATTTCTGTTGTTCCTCGTCTATTCCCAATGTTCCAGGTTTCCTCGTGGTATAATTTCCCTTCTAAGAACTTCCATTAGCCGTTCTTTAGAACAGGTCTGGTGGCAATGAATTCTCTTTGTTTTCCTTGCCTGAGAATGTGTTTGTTTCAACTTCATTTATGAAGAATATTTTTCCTGGATTTTGAACTCTGGGTTGAAGGGTTGGTTTTTATTTTTCCAGCACTTTAAGCTGTTCCATTTTATGCTACCCTCCATAGTTTCTGATGAGAAATGTACAATCATTGAGTTGTTGCCTTGCAAATAATGCCTCTTTTTTTTTTTCTGCCTGCTTCCATGATTCTTTTTGTTTGTCTTCAATTATCAGCAGTTTGATTGTACTATGTTTGGGCATGCCTTTCTTTGGGTTTATCATGTTTAGAGTTCACTGAGCTTCTTGACTCTGTGTGTTTCTGTTTTTCACAAAATTCAGAAAATTTTTAACTATCTTTTCCAATATGTCTTAACTGCATTGTATTCTTTCTATTCTTTTTCTAGATCTCCAGTAACATGAATATTAGATCTTTCAGTTTTGTCACATTGGTCCCTGATGCACTGTTCGTTTTTTTCCCATTATTTTTCTCTTCATCGTTCAAATTGAATAATTTCTGTTGAGTTATCTTAAAATTCTCTGATGCTTTCCTGTGTCATCTCTGTTCTGTGATTGGGTCCATCTACGGAGTTTATTTTGGTTATTGTATTTTTCAGTTATAAAATTCAGTTTTGTTGTTTATATCTTCAGTGTTTGTATTCAAGGGTATTTCCTCTCCTTTTTTAAAATATGTTTATTTATTTATTTTTTTGGGGGGGGGAGGAGCAGAGAGAGAGGGTAAGAGAATCCCAAGTAGGTTGTGTGCTATCTGTGCAGAGCCCAATATGGGGCTCGATCTCACAAACTGTGAGATCATGACCTGAGCTGAAATAAAGAGTCAGAGACTCCACCAACTGAACCACCTAGTGCCCCTCCCCTTACTCCTTGGTACACTTTTATAATAACTGCTTTACAGCCTTGGTTATCTAATCCCAACATCTACATCATGTCTGCATTGTCCCCTGTTATTGTCTTTTCACATGTGAGTTGAGATTTTCCTGGTTCTGTGTATGCTGAATAATTTTGAATTGTATTGCAGACATTTAGAAGATTTTTTTTTATTTAAAAATTTTTCTTTTATTAATTTTTTTTTTTTTTTTGAGAGAGAGAGACAGAACATGAGCAGGGAATGGACAGAGAGAGGGAGACACAGAATCTGAAGCAGGATCCAGGCACTGAGCTGTCAGCACAGGGCCTGACATGGGGCTTAAACCGATGAACTGCAAGATTATGACCTGAGCTGAAGCCGGACACTTAACTGACTGAACCACCCAGGTGCCCCAAGAATATTATAAGACTCTTGGGGGTGCCTGGATGGCTCGGTTGGTTAAGCATTGACTTTGGCTCAGGTCATGATCTCACAGTTCATGGCTTCAATCCCTGTGTTGGGCTCTGTGCTGACAGCTGGGAGCCTGGAGCCTACTTTGGATTCTGTGTCTCCTTCTCCCCCTGTCCCTACCCTGCTCACACTCTCTCTCTGTCTCTCTCTCTCTGTCTCTCTCTCAAAAATAAATAAACATTAAAAAAAATTGAAAAAAACATTAGAATATCATAAGTCTCTAGGTTTTGTTTAAATCCTGTGCAGGATATTAATATTTTTGTTCTAGCAGGCAATAGAGGTGGTTGGGTTCAGGCTACAAATTCTAACCACTATTTTGTAGTTTCCATGTCAATTCTGTTTTCAAAGCATTTGCAGTGCTATTTGGATCTGTCTTCTGTGTGTGCCACAATCTGGGACACGTGTGGTAGTCTGTCCTTCAGTTCAGTCTCAGAGTCTTCGCTGTGCTGTCTAGGTCTATTCTGTCCTTGTGTAGCCTGAGGGGGAGCCTAAGAGTCTCTAATCAGCTTTACCTGTTAACTTTCCTGAGTTTCTCCTTCTCCATAATCTCTGGTACTTGCCGGCTCCCTGGACTTCCTCTTTGAGTCCTATATCCAGAAAGCTAGTGCTTTAGCTTTGCTGTTGCACAGGCTACTTCCTGGGATGGGCCCCTGTCTGGGGCCAAGCAATGGAGGGACAGAGAGGAAGCACCGACTATGATTTGTACCTCCTCCTGGGACCACAGCTTCTCTGTAGAAGAAGGTTTCCCTCCCTCAGAGGTGTTGGTGCCTGTGGGCCCCCACTGCCTTTGGAGGCATTGCTACTGCTGGGGTGGCAGGATTTCCTGGGGCCGGAGCACTAGAGAACAGAGGAAAGAACAAAAGATGGCAGACTTCCCTGAGACTCTCTGAGCGTTAGGAAATGCTTTCCTGGTCCTTGAGCCAGAACAGAGCTGAAGGGCTTCTTCAGGGCCCTGGTGCCCATTCTGAGTTTCAGGCTGCTCTACATCTAGACCAGGGGATTCTAGCAGGGGAAAAACAAAACAGAAAACACTCACTGCTGATTCAGTGGTGCTTTGAATTCTGGTCTTCTTTCCCAGTGCACCTGCTTCTATTTATGGACACCTCAAATGGCTGTTCCATGTGTTCCGTCAGGTTTTATAGCAGCATTCGGTGAGAAAGGGTAGAATGCACTTACTCCATTTTACCTAGAGCTGGAATAATATATTTCATTTGCTGTCACGGACTGAATGTTCATGTCTCTCTAGAATTCATATGTTGAAGCCCTAACCCCCAATATGATGGTAGTTGGAGAGAGGGCCTTTCGGAGGTAATTGGGGTTAGATGAGGCCATGGAGATTGAGCCCTTCTGATGGGATTAGTGTCCTTATAGAAAGGGCCACCAGCGTGTACTTGTTGTCATGCTCTCTCTCCCTCCCACCCTCCGTGCCCTGTGAGGTCACAGAGAGAAGGTGGCCATCTCCGGACCAGGAAGGGCACCCTCTCCAGGAATTCAATTGGCCACCACCTTGATACTGGATTTCACAGCCTTCAGAGCTATAAGAAAATAAAGTTCTGTTGTGTAAGCCATCCGGCCTAAGGTACTTTGTTGTGGCCATCCAAGCTAATTGAAGACATTGGCCAAAAGACTCATGAAAACAATTCATGGCGCTCCACCTTGATTGTGTCACTCTCTCCAACTCATAGCCTTTCCGTGTAGTTCTGCATAGTTCCACCGAACGTGTTTTCCGCAAGGTTTGCTAACAATTTATATTTAGCTGAATTTCCAGAAAGAGGAAACGATTCCCCCAAACTAGACTGGTAGCTTTAGTGCTTTTTATTGTTTGGTTATAATACCTCAAATACATTTTCTGGTATGTCAGTGTTTTGAATTAATTTACTGCTTGATTGTTTGGGTCCTAGTCCCCTTGACTAAGTTTGCTTCAGATTTCACTGTAAATAATCTAGGGGCGCCTGGGTGGCGCAGTCGGTTGAGCGTCCGACTTCAGCCAGGTCACGATCTCGCGGTCCGTGAGTTCGAGCCCCGCGTCGGGCTCTGGGCTGATGGCTCGGAGCCTGGAGCCTGTTTCCGATTCTGTGTCTCCCTCTCTCTCTGCCCCTCCCCCGTTCATGCTCTGTCTCTCTCTGTCCCAAAAATAAATAAACGTTGAAAAAAAAAAAATTAAAAAAAAAAAAAGATTTCACTGTAAATAATCTCAAGGCTAAGTGACCTACGTCCTGCGTGGACCAATTCTTTTTATTATTTATTTCATGCCTCGGGGAAGCTTATTTCAAAGAGCACGTGGTTAGAAGGCCACAGTCCCCGCTTCTCCCCCACACAGCACGGTAAAACACAGGACACGAGAGTAGGTGCGGGATACTGTACTTGAGTGGGGAGCAGAAAGGAACCACGGGACCCTTCTCTGCTCACTTAACAGAAGCCGTCTCAGGTGTTCCCTTTTCCTTTTCCTTTTCCCTTTGCCGCAGTCTCCTACCTCCGTGAACTTGTGCTAATCGGTAGAGCTGGCTTTGAAGAGCTGCTGATCGTTGAGGGTGAAGCCTTTCCCTCATCCAGCGTGCGTCTCTTCCTCTGGGGGCTTGCCCCGCCCCCGCTCCTACTCCACCTGTCCATACTGTCCTGCGGGTCAGGGCCAGCGCCCAGCTTTGACTCTGGCCCCGCTGGCCAGAAGGCCTGGCTTGACTCGCCTGGGGCTCCCTTGAAAACAAAAGCCCAGGACTTATTCTAGGCTAGGAACACTGTTTCCCCCCTCCCACACTAGAGTTTTGTCAAAGCGTTACATTATTCCAGAGTTAATACGTAGGATTTGCGAAGCTAAACCCCAGTTGTGACTTGGCCACTTCCATCTTAGACGACATCGAAAGAGCGGCATTAGAGAAAAATACTTCCACCAGAGCTTGTTTGAAAGAGAACAGTTAGCCTCTTGGATGGAATTAGGTGTCCACGTTCCGGGAATTCTGGTTATTTGTGCCGCAGCTGAGAAAAGGTATATTACTGAGTTTGGTTTGTAATTAAAATGGTCTCGTGGGCCTACCCCCCACCTCCCCACCCTCAGGGCACAGGATATTCGCTAAGACTGGCACTTCCTCTGTTGATGTTCCCTTTGGGAAACAAAAGATAGAAATGGTGACTAAGGTCTTTCCAGATAATATCCCACACCAAAGTATTGACAGAAAAGGTTTGTATAACATGACGTGATAACGTAATGTGATGTATGAATATTATTACCCAAGGGTTATATTATACCCAGCCGATAAGTTATATTCGTATGGTTATGTGTATATTTGTAAAAGTGCGTAGCCTTTCAGTCGTTGACTTTATAAATACTTAACCGAGTGTCTGTCTGGTATGTAAAAAACTGTGCAGGGCATTGTGAGAAGTACAGAGGTTTACACAAGATGGGTTTTTTTTGTTGTTGTTTTCTAGCCTTCAAGAAAGTTCAGTGCAGAGTGGGAGTAGCATCACTGAAGTGACGACCGCAACGTAGTTAGGAGTTGTCAGGATTTAAACTAGAGAGTGTGGATGAGGTTTTGACTCTGAAGGTTACTGTACCTTCTGAGAGCTGTGCATCGGGCAGGTTCTCGGGAAGCCCCTGGGGGGTTTGTTGCTTGCCCAGTTGGGCTGCGATTAGCATCCTTCTAGTTTGGAGGAGACGTTATCCAGGAAGCCATCTAGTCCGTGGGGGAGGTGGCATCTCCTGAGTCTTGCTGCCACAGAAAACTTTGAATGGGTGGAAAAAGGAGTTTGTGAGCATTCTTGCTATGTCACAATGTTGGACATGTGACTTAAGAGAAGCATGTGACAGGTCAGTGTGATTGGACCATTTGATTACCAAGTCCAGACTCTAGAGTGACTCAGTGGCCAATGCTGCTTTTTTAAACGGTTAACTGAAACATTGGTATGACAGAAGATCTATGAATAAAAGACCTAAAATCCTTTTAAACGTACTATTTATTGGGACATCCTGAAGGACTTGTTCCCGTATCATCTCCCATCTTGCACTTGTTGATAATTGTTCGACATTCATTCGGCATTTACTGGAAGCTTCCAGATGGTGGACAGCGTGCAAGGTGTCTGAGATGGCAGAAGGAAAATACAGAGGAACAGGCTGTATCTCCTCACTCGGTAATAACAACAGCTAACATTGAATGCTCATTTAGTGTTTACCACGTGTCAGACTTGTTTGGAGAGATATATTTCTCTTCCCTTAATCCTTATAACAGCCGTATGAATCAGTGCTATTACTGTCCCCACTATACGGTGGATGACACTGGCAAACAGAGAGATTGAGTAACTTGCCAGGTAATAGCCTTGCAAGGAATTTATGGTCTGAGTATACATTGTTGAGTACCTCCCTTTTTAGGGTAAGGCAGCGATGAATGGGGTATAGGGAAGCAAAAGGTGACTCGGGTTGAGTGTTTGCTGTAAACTGACACCCAGAGTATCTGACTCAAGAAATTCTTCAGTCTGTGATCCGAAGAGAATTATGGAATGGTAGGAAATAATTAAGCACAGCAAAATGCTGGAAATATTTACCAGCAGTGGCAATCCAGTTTAATTTTATGTCCAGTACCACAGCCCTACATCTTCCTTTCAATATACATTATCAGGGTTAATGTATGTAGTCAATCCAATAACATTGTTTTCTCCCCTCTCTCTGCTTTGGGAGGGGTACCTGTATGAAGGCTGCTTCACTCTGGAGGTTTGGACCTGTGTGGGCATGTCTGGGCATCTGCTGGGAGAGGACTTGCAGAATACTGGGGACCTTAGCGAGAGAATTCCTGAAAGTGGAAGACTGTAGAAATGGTAATAAGGCCTCAGCTGTTATAAGAGAGGGGTGACTTCAGTACTTGTGGTAAAGAGGCAGGATAGGTAGGGTCAAGTGGTAAGAAATACAGGAGATATATTTGTGTAGATCACTTAACAGTAGTATGTAATCAGTAAATACTCATTATTATTTGTATTATAGTACTCACCCCAGGCTGTCCCTACAAAAACACATATGCAGAGACCTAAGAGACAAAGTGTGAAGATGCCAGAGGTCTTCATCAGACCGTATAGATGTCCTTTAATGAACTTATAGATTGCTAAATGTTACCAACAAATGTTAATAATGATAAGTGGTGGTAGATAATATCATTATTGCTCTTATCTCCATTTTTTGTTGTCATTAATTTTATATTGTGGTCAGTTGGAAAACAGGATTTAATTTTGAAAATATTCAAATATTTAAGGAGGTTTTTCTTTTTTTTATCAGTTTTTATTTTATTTTAAATTTTATTTTTTATTTTTTAAAATTTACATCCAAATTAGCATATCGTGCAGCAATGATTTCAGGAGTAGATTCCTTAGTGCCCCTTACCCATTTAGCCCATTCCCCCTCCCATAACCCCTCCAGTAACCCTCAGTTTGTTCTCCATATTTATGAGTCTCTTCTGTTTTGTCCCCCTCCCTGCTTTTATATTATTTTTGTTTCCCTTCCCTTATGTTCATCTGTCTTGTCTCTTAAAGTCCTTATAGCAGTGAAGTCATATGATTTTTGTCTTTCTCTGACTGACTCATTTCGCTTAGCATATTACCCTCCAGTTCCATCCACGTAGTTGCATTAAGTAGATTTTTCTAAGCAGAAAGAGGAACGACATTCACGCAAATAGGCAAGGAACTTAATTGTCATTGGTGGGCATTATGGATTTTGCATTCTTACAGAAGCAAACTCATGAACTGTGATTTTATTATCACAGAAATTAATTTCTTGCTAAGAGTCACTTTCTGCTTTTCTCAGCATTTGATATATGCAAGATCATTATTTCCTGTATCCACCCTAAATAGCTTACTTCTTTCCAGGCAAGTAGAGATTTCAGAAAAGACGATGGGGAAATTCTTTTCCTTCTGATTGGTTCTTTGGCCCTTTTCATACCCCTCCCCCACTCCCTGCAGGGGGTGGTCATTAAAATGCCTCAGACAACTGTGGAGCCTTCAGGATGGTAACTGCGATATGATCATGTTACACACCCATTCAAAGTTCTCTGCTCCAGGGTCAAGGTTTGGATGATGGCACACAGCCTGTGGATCTCCTGCCTCCTGGACTGGTTTCTCTGTTGTGAGAAGGATAGGAAATGAGAGAGAGATGAACCCACTGTAAGTCTGAGGATGACATTTAACTACAGTCTGGTAAATTTTGAGATATTCCCATGTTGATAAATTAATCTAGTCCTTCTAACCTGGTATGTAACACTCTGTTGCATGAAAATATCACATTTTACTTGAATATATTGATGGACGTTTAGGTTCTGACTTTTTGCTCTTTCAGATACTTGTGCGCACATCCCTATGTATGTGTTTGTATGACATATACGAACGTTCCTGTAGGATGGGGGTCTTTAAACTTACTTGCTAGCTTACCCCGCAACTTGGAAAAACTTTGCCTCCTTATACATTTAGAATTGGAATTAAACTTTTTACCGGGACTTCAACATTAGACATTTCTGAATGTTGTCAACAAATGTTAGTAATAAAAACTGGTGGTAGATAATATCATTATTGCTCTTATTCCTGGTTTTTGTTGTCACTAACTTTATATTGTGGTCAGTTGGAAAATCGGATTTAATTTTGAAACTATTCATGTATTTAAGTAGATTTTTCTAAACAGAAGGAGACGACATAACTTTCAGTAGTTGCAAAGGAATTAATTTCCTTGTAATGTAAACATTAGCATTTAGAAGTAGAATTCTTCAGTGTATCCAATTGAGTGTAAATACTCCAGTTGAGTGATTTGATACTCACTATTATCCATCAAATGTTAACAGTATGAACAAGGTCTCTTACAGTGGGAAATTTTACATCACTTCTTTTTCCTTCTGCGCTTGAATTTTCTTTCTACTGCTAAAAATCTACAGATTTTTATCTGAATGTATTACACATTATATGTGAATGTTTTTTATTGGTCACTTAACATATTTCCCTACGACACAATGTATATATAAATTTTAAATTAAATTACATTAACTTTCCTTGACCATAATACTCCTAATGGTTAAGGGTTTTTCTGAATCATCATTATTTTTACTTCATAATTGACCAGTGAAGTGCTTTGATTTTATTTTATTTAATTTTTTTAAATTTACATCCAAATTAGTTAGCATAGAGTGCAACAATGATTTCAGGAATAGATTCCTTAATGCCTCTTACCCATTTAGCCCATCCTCCCTCCCACAATCCCTCTAGTAACCCTCTCTTCTCCATATTTAAGAGTCTCTTATGTTTTGTCCCCCTCCCTACAATAAAGTGCTTTTAAAGGTTAATAATTATTAAACATAAGTTAACAGAGCTTTAAAAATTGATTTTTTCCTTCTTCTGATAATTAATTAACCAACTAACTAATTAATTAATTGATGTATTTATTTTTCTGAGGCCAAAGTTTACCATTTCATCTCCTGAGAAGATTCTAAATATGCCTATTTGTGCAATGCTCTTATTTACATTTGTTTATTTATGTATGTATTTATTTAGTTAGTTAGTTAGTTTCAAGTGTTTATTTAACTTCTAGTTAGTTATATTGGTTTCCGGAGTAGAATATTGTGCAATATTGGTTTCAGGAGTAGAGCCCAGTGATTCATCACTTACATATGACACCCACTGCTCATCACAAGTGCCCTCCTTAATGCCACTCACCCATCTGGCCCATCCCCCACTAAGAAATTCATTTGTAGATCATGAATGAATTTTACTTATTTCTAGAAGGAGACAGGGTCAGCATCAGTTTATCCCCAGGTTTTGCTTTTCATATTGTAAACACTGAGGAATATTGTTCACATAAATAAGTAGATGGCCATTGGAATAAATTGTGTAGGTGCCGTTGCTCATTTATTTGAAAGCTTTCCAAATTATATGCCACACATCGCTTAGTGGTCTTATTTTTAACGATTTATCAGTGAACACTTTGCACGGTCCTCTGTCAGTTCACTACGAAACAGGTAATGTTAGGCTAACATTCAAAAGTGTTTGTGTTTGTTAGTCGGTAAGCTCATTCAGCTTCTCAACATTAATATCATTGTTTCAGGTTATCTCTAGCTCCTTTCAGGTTTTTGCCTTTGGGGCAATATATCGTTTAGCATTCACATGGAGACAGGTATCCCTTTCTGTTTTAAAGTGGAGAAAGGGCCTCTGTGAAGGGGAGGTAGGGACTAGGAACCACGGGGGCCACCTAACTACACTGGTTCTCAGGTAGTTCAGTTGTAGGCGGAGCGTACATGGAAGATAAAGGTCTGGAATTACCCGCTGAAAACTGGCTGCGGGCCTCCGTTCTCTAGTTTGAAGCTCCTACTCTGAGGTTGATACCCAGCACTGGAGTTGCTATCTCTTAAGCTGTGTGGCCGGTTCGTTGAACCCACGTCGCTGAGGACATGGCTCTGCCTCCCAAGGATTCAGGAGAAGTCCCCTCTGAAGGTCCCCGTATGTGAGTCAAAGGAGTTTTCTAACTTTAGGAAAATCCCATGGTCATTGGATTCAAACAGCTGGTGGCCGACGAGTGGTACGCACCAGAGTTCGATGAGACTCTTCATCCGTTTCTATGATTTGCTTTGTGACACCCTATTTTTATTCATAACTTACTTTCTTTAAAAAAATTTTTTTTTCAACGTTTATTTATTTTTGGGACAGAGCGAGACAGAGCATGAACGGGGGAGGGGCAGAGAGAGAGGGGGACACAGAATCGGAAACAGGCTCCAGGCTCCGAGCCATCAGCCCAGAGCCCGACGCGGGGCTCGAACTCACAGACCGCGAGATCGTGACCTGGCTGAAGTCGGACGCTTACCCGACTGCGCCACCCAGGCGCCCCGTGTAACTTTCTTTCTTTTAAAGGGTGTCCTTAGTCTACATCAACTGAGGTGGCACAAAAACAGCACTGTACTTGGTTTGCGCTCTGTGCCCTGAAGCAGAAATGCCTTTAATTGTTCATTGCAAACTAGATGTCTAGTGGAGAAGGTTATTAAAAATATTTTGTGCATTTTGGGAGAACTGGAGGTCAGGATGGCTTGACCTAGCATCTCACAGCAAACCCAAGTCAAGTAAGCCACCAAGGTAACATAGCCTGTTCTTAGGGCAAAATTTTCTGGTTGGCTAATTTCTGGATATTATTAAAAGGGACAGTACATTTTGAAAATAGAATGATGGCCATCCTCAGGCAGGAGAATTCTACTTTAAAAACAGAAGATTTAATGTGCCAGATTCAAATCATAAGGAAAGGCTGCCCAGTTAATAGGACAAATGCCTCCACATTGTAAAATAAACAGATTTGAAATGCAGAGTCTTATTTTGCAGTTACAAGTTATTTAAAAATCTTTATAAAGACCTAATAATAAAAGAATAAAGTGTTTAACTGCAAGTCCACAAGAACGCATTAGGCATAAGGTACATCTTAATTAAGGCCTCTCTTCTACTTACTTCAACAGGTGGCCTAGGAAGGGGGTGGTCCCATGAGCTCTAGCAGCCAGGGGCCCGGGACCTCACTCTGGGAGACAGCCAGGGCAAAGGTACTACATCCAGGAAAGAACTTTCACATAAGACTTCAGTCTCAGAGCTAAGTAAATAAGGATCTGTTTTGTTTGTTTTCTTCTTAGACCTTTTTCTTATGCACTCCCTTTTCCTCTAGAGTTTCCTGAAATGTAAAACCTGTACATCTTCTAAAAAATGCAACATATTTAAGTACAATTAATTAGCAAAAATCTACCAAAGAAAACTGTTTATCTGTTGTTTTTAGAAAAGATAAAATTTCCCTTCTAGGTTAGGTCTGACAACATTAGGTGTTTCTATGGTATTCTTTCTGAAGTTGCTACAAGATAGAAAAATCTAAATCACAATGAGAGTACCTTTGGAACTTCCTAATCCTAAAACATGTTAACAAGAAGGCTATGAAGCATAGGATCTAGAACTGCTATATTTTGTCACGAAGTGGAACCAGGGAAATTAGTGCCCCCTCCACTGGGCTGCTAGGTTAGGTGGAAAAAATGAAATTAAGGGTACTGTCTGTATTCCTGTGGCTGAAAATCCAAAGGCATGAGGCAGTAGTATCATGTGCGGTGGGAGTTACGGCCCTTGGAGCCGTGGGCCCTGGCAGCACAGC